TGTCAGCATGTTAAGTGCCCTTAACATTTACACTAAACATTAGAAAACTGATTTTTAGCACAGATGAACGGTTTCCTGTCAACGTTGATTATATAACTTCCTATAAAAAACACCTAAACGCCCTGCTTATTGAATACAAAATTATTCACATTTTCTAATATAAAGTATTTTATCTTTCATGTAAAAATTCCTCAAAATATTTTAAAATCTAAGCATTTTATTTTCTTGTTAACCGTCGAATTTGACAATTTTGATTTCTCTTGTTATGATGGTGTCTTACAAATTAACACATGTAGATGCCCTTTATATAAACTATAGACTACAAATTAACATATGTAGATGCCCCTTACATAAACTATAGACTTATTTAGCACAAAATATCAAACACTTCTAACATAAAAGCATCAAATAAATATTGACAAGGAAGAATAAATATTTATGTATATAAAAAGATTTATGATCATGAAAAAACAGGAAGTCAATTCTTCAGTAGATGAATGAATGATTACTATGGGTGAAAAAGATTTCCGAAACAAAATTTGAAAAGATAATTTTTACACATGTAATATATTTCCACGTAAAAGAGAATGCAACCTGTCAGTGATGAAACAAACTTATTATAGGAAAATGAAATTGTGTCTGTGTGTATTGTCTTCTCTGCTTCCTGTCGTTCTAACAGCTGGAGATTTTAAAGGTAAGTATTTCGTCTTGTCAGGGATATAAATTGCTATGTAAATTTGTAATACACATTACGATCATGGAGGAGATATTAATGTCAAATACTTCTTGTGAAATCTGTAATCATAGTTAGCGTTTTTTATGAAACATAAGGAAATATGGAACAGTTTTCAAGTTTAATAGTCCGTAAAACATTCCAAATAGGAGCAGAGCCAATGCAGACCTCTAAAACGTCAGAGATGGGATCAGGTACCATGCAGGGGTGAGCATCCCCTGCCGACAGTGACATTCGCTGTGTGCTTCTTGTCATGATAAGGAAATAACGGAAAAATCAGTCGTCGATTTAGTGAAAAAATAATGGACTAACACTTAATATTCAATGACAAACTGTATTAGCTGACAAGTTCAATGTATCGACCATAGAATTTACGATATGATGACTTCAAACGAGACAACTGGTCATATTACATCAACTTAGATTCAAAATAAACCTTGTTTTGGAAATTGTTCATAGGTAGAGTATGCTTCTGTGTGTCGAATCAATTGAGATATATAAACTTTGTATGCAGGTGATGAAGTGTTGCAAAAGTAAGGGAAGTTGACGACGGAAAAGTAAAATTCGTCACGTTTATCAAAAATTATAAATTAAACGTGTTTTACTTTGTTTAGTTTTCAAACTTTTACTTGTTTAAATGCGTTTGAATTTATTTAAAGAAATATCTTAAATTGTATGAGATAACTTTGTATTCAAAGACAGTTAAACATGCTCCGGTGTAATTGGCAATACCTACATTATAGCTATAATTATTGTTTTATTACAAATTTGCAAGTAAGAAAAAAAATATGAAATTTAAAAGTGTCAAATGTATAAGTGTAGCCTTCAAATGCTTTACTTTCAATTCCAGTTGAAGTAGTTACTAACGTTACACAAGTAACAGAGGGAGAAAACTTCTTCATTACATGTATTGTGTATGGAATACCTGATTTACACTTCCTTAATGCCTCAAATATTTCCGTCAATTTGATGTTTCAACGCAAAAACAGAGTTGAAATTCTTGGCCAATTGCCCAAGTTATTTCAACCCAAATACGAAATAAATCGTCTAAAAAGGAATAGAACATTCAGTAATAATACTTTTCACGAGGCCATAAACTTTTCGATTGATATTTACTGTAATTTAAAAAAAAAATCGAAATTATTATTTTTATCATGTTTCATTAAGCATTGAAAACATGGCATATTGATTAATTTAATTAAACCTACTAAAAAGACAAACCGAATACAAAAATAATTTTTAGACAGAACACTGAATACGTCACTAAAGTGTTTGCAGATAATTTATGGTTAAATTTCGCGAAATAAGCACAGATTCTTCTAAATTCATTGTTGATTTAATCCGTTCCTCGGGGTCCAAAATCAGCAGCTAAACAACTGAAGAGGCTTACAAAAAGGTTTAATTTTGGTATAACGAAAGTAATCCTTATAATGATATGTCTTAAAATAGTTTGCTGTGTTACATCAATTACATTTATTTTAATACACACATATATCTCATAATTTTATATTTTGTAAACGCCCCTGTTTTTTAAATAGAATACCAGAACATAAGATATGAATGTAGATTGGAATATCAATTATATTGTTTTTAATAAAAACGTCAATAATACCCTTAATTTTATTTATTCATCATTCACCTTTTTATTACTTTTTGTTTTGTTTCCTTTTTGTTTAATTTGTCTCACAATAACGAATTCACTGATAAATTCATCATTTAACAAGGAAGTGTGATGTCAACCTTACAATGGGATTTCCAATTTAAGTAAAAAAAATATTTTTCTTCTACCTAATAGTAATTTATTTGGAAGAAATACAGTTTTGTTGTATTTTATGTTCGATAGTTAAATATTCACAGTACACAAAATATAATATGCTCCGACAAAAGTATGAAATATGCATTTTTAAAATAATAATAATACATTTTTGCAATATTTTACAAACATGCATTCAACACCTTCAAAATTGAACATGATGAATGCTAAATCTAACATTCATGCGCGTATATGTATCAATTAAATGTATCAATTAAATCGAAAATATCTTTCTATATTTATTTTAAATTTTAAATTGACCATGACAAAAATGAGTATTAGACAAACATTTTAAGTAGAATTTAATTTAAGCATTGTTAGTGAGGATGCTGAGATCGCGAAAATTGAATATCGCTAAAACATTATTGATGTAATCACTTCTTTTCAGACCATTCTAAAATCGTTAATAATACATCTCGCTAAAAATAGAATACTTCTTTTGGAGAACAAATCGCTAATTCTGAGTCTCGCTAAAACTTTCCACTTATTCGGTATTTTTTTTGTACCCATTGATGTCTTAATGCAATGGAAAACAATTGCAACTCTTTACAACTTCCCAAACAATCGAAGTTTAAAAGAGTGATTATTCTGATCCAATACCCCATAAAAATTAATTTAAACGCAAAGGTTAATAAAAATGGTTGGAAGGGATGTTGGGCAGTATGGACATTTTCCTCTGCTGAAAGTGTAAAACGGGACATTCTTTATTTTTTTTAACGATGACAATGTCATGATCAGCTTAAGTAAAGTCAGTTTAATTAAACAGCTATTGCAAAAACACATTAGGTAGAAAGAGACTTGTTTTTGAGACAGATACGATTCTTCTGAAAAGATTGTTACTTGTCAAAGAGCACACGACTGGTTTGAAAGGTTAGCAGGGAATGCTTACACCTTCAACTCATCTGATCTCATCTCTGATGTTAAAATGTCCGTGTATACTCAGTTCCTTTTCTGTAATGTCTACTGGACGTTTGAACTGAAATACTGTTCGATATCTCCATATGTATACCTTATACAGGTGCCGTATGTTCATTCAATACAAAAGGCAGCATCGGTGCCTTTGAATCAATATCAATTCACAAAGTAATTATTAAGTGAATCTCATACTTGACTTCCCATTGAAGGACAAAGTAACTGTTTAAATATTCATTGGAATTAATACTAATCTTAAAAAAGCATTTGAAAATATAAAATATAAAATTGTAGTTTAAGCAAATTAAAGAATTTGACATAAATGTAAGCAAAGTCATGTTAAGTATTGCCCTTTTCATACTTATCAATTAAAAATATTTCATGTAAATACAACTTGTCCCAGTTTAGTTCTTAATTTGTTATAAACAAACTAATGTTTTATAATGCTATCCACAAACAGCATTATTCTTAATTTGACCTATGACCTTTGTATTCTAAATCTTTTATTTTTTCTTGATTGTAGAGTAAAATTCGCTGCTGAATTTTTAGGTATTACGGTAGTGATATATTTAGGAATTTTTTTTTACCTCCCGTTTTAAAGATATATAAACTATGCATTTTTAGTGAAGTTTATTTTCAAACAGTACGCAGTAAAACCATGGCAGGAGTTGTGTTGGCTATCTTTGTGTACGTCTTGTTCCTTTGTGCGGCTGGATCCCAGCCAATTTATTTCAATGAAAAGAATGACTGCGTCTGTAATGATCAGACGATACAGACATTGAACAAAAAGATTGACTCCATAAGACAGGAGTGCACGAGACAAATATATTCCTTAAAACAAGAAAACGTGAGACAAATTGACTCCTTAAAACAAGAAATCGCGCGGATTAGGAAAAATGAAACCAACATCCATGAAAATTTGGAGACCAGTATACTGCAAATCGACAAGTCAGGTAACTCTCTCTCATGGCATATTGCGATTATTATCATGTTATGTATTTAAATTGTTTTTTTTCTTTCAGAGTTCAACATATATATTGATTGTAAAGACCTCTATAATAATGGTAATACAGAACCTGGTGTTTATGAGATCTATCCATTTGGTACTAACAGCAAGGTCAGCGTCTTCTGTGACATGGTGACAGAAGGTGGAGGGTGGACAGTAAGATCTCTCTCTCTATCACTCCCTCTCTGTCTAAATGATAAATTTTATCTTATATTTCTTTAATAATTTATTAATTTAGTAATCTTTGATTTTAAAACTGCTTTCAAATGCTTTAGTTGATTCGACATTGAATTATTGTTAGCCTTGTTTACAGGAAGATAATAAAATTCTTAAATAAATATTTTTTTAATTACAATGTAAAAACAAATTATATATCATGATTCTGATAACAGTCTTTTTTTTACATATAATATAATTAAAGAAGACTTATATATGATTTTTTTTTAAATAATAACTTAAAAAACTTTAATACTCTCTTTAATGAACCCGACTTAATTCATAAATCATTAGGCTAATCCAGACACGGGTCAGTGGTTCAGTGTTATTCGGCAGAACGTGGGTGGATAACAAGGAAGGATTTGGAAACGTTACTGACTCCTATTGGATAGGTAAGTCATATACAATTAAGAATGAATACAGAGGACAAAGCAAATGATTGGCCCCAAAGGGTAAGGGTTCCAGATGCAGAAATATTTACCTCCCTTGGGGAACCATGGGTTTTCTATTTCCATTGTACCCATTCCATAGCTGTACAATATTTTATGTTGATTTAAGGGATGATATATCTGCCGCCTTTTAAACGATTTAAATTAGCATTTTGTGTTAAGTCAAATAGAAATTTATAACAAGTTTATGTAAAATAAAATGCATAACAATACCCCTACCTTGATTTCAAAACATGAAGATTCATTGCTGTATACACTACAAAATTATGAATGTCTGCATACCTTCACAATCAGATGTTTAATTATATGGCAATATAAAAAATATGTTTGCTTTATTAATTCTTTATATACAACACGACTATTACACATTTAAGGACATGATGTAGTACACCAACTTACAAAGGAAAGGAACTCCACCCTCTACATCTCTATAACACTGACTAATGGGACAAAGCTGTATATAATATACGACCGGTTCTCTGTTGAGAATGAAACCAACTATTACAGATTATTTCTTGGAGGACCAGCTATCGGGACACTGGGTAGGTACACGGAAATGACAATCAAAAACAGAGAGAAAGAGAGTGAGAGATAGAGAGAGAGAAAGAGAGTGAGAGATAGAGAGAGAGAAAGAGAGTGAGAGATAGAGAGAGAAAGAGAGTGAGAGATAGAGAGAGAGAGAGAGAGAGAGAAAGAGAGAGAGAGATAGAGAGAGAGAGAGAACAGGAGAGAAAAAAGAGATAGAGGAGAAAGGTAGAGAGATAGGTATGTCTATGTCTGGTGACAGGTAAATAAGAGAGAGAGAGATGTAAAGAGAGAAAGGAATAAAGCGAGAGGAAGATAGAGAGGGAGATTTGAAGAGAAAGAGAGGGGTAGAGGAGAGAGAGACGAGAGTGGCAGGTCTATTTATTGTGACATGTAAACAACTAGAAGTTCTTTCTTTGAGGACCAATCCTATACACAGACACCGTTCACGGTAGCCAAGTGGTAGAGCGTTAGCATCGTGATCGGGAGGCCCGGGTTCGATTCTTGTTCCCGGCGCTGCGTCAAACCTAAGACGTAAAAATAGGTAGTGACTGTTCCTTCGCCAAGCGCTCAGCATTAGATGTGAAAGTCATGGGTGTTTCGGATATGACCTTGAAAACGTAGGTCCCGTGTCACGGTAGGTGCTTGCACGATAAGGAACCCTCATTGCTCAATGGCCCTGAGTGCCGAGTATAGGTCTAAATTTGAAGCCCTTCGCCGGCAAACGGTGACGTCTCCAAATGAATTAAAAATTCTCGGGAGGGACGATAAACAATATACAATCAATCTAGTACACAGACATTCCTTACAGCTCTAGAAAAGCAGAGCAAGGAGTTGATCCTTATGTCGCGGGTTCGAATCCCAGTGTAGGACGTAGAGACTGGTCCTTTGAATGGGATCGTAAAAAACGAAGAAAAAAGACATTATTAGATTTAATACTAAATTGCTAGTAACATTGAACATTTTACGTTATAAATGAAACATGAGTACTTGTACGTAATGTTGCCAGATACATAATTCATTCAAAGAATAAATTTAAGTGTTAAATAATTGTTGAATAAAAAAAAAAGGAAAACGGTAATTATTTATTACATTCGATAACAATGACTTCTTTGTCTTTTTGATGAAGATATAAAAGTAGATTTAACAAAAGCAATACAACAATGGAAAAAAAGTTGATTACATAAATCGCATCTAGTTGAAGAAAGTTGGAGAATTCCTAATGATTAATTTGTTGACAAAAGGGGAAACACTATTGATTCCTGTTAACGGTTAACTTAAAGAAGTGCCCCCCCCCAAAAAAAAAAGAATAATAAAAAAAATGTTATTTAATAATATAACATCACCTTATCGGTTCATGTTTTGTTCGAATATACCTTCTTTATGTGCCAATAAAATTAAGTCAGTTTCAATGTTCAGAGAAGGGTTTTATATGGATGAATTCATTTCAATTCAATGTATTGACGTTGCCCGTGTGGTACAGTGCTTAGAGCCGAGATAGAATAACTCGATCCTTACCTCACGGGTTTTAATTCCCTTGAGTGAAAAATTCCAAACAACATCTTACAATCTATCTTTTATTTCTATTGAGATTCATCAAGTTCGTATACATTCAAAATAAGAAATTAAATGACATGCTCCAGAAAAACACAGTGAGATAGAAATTAAAAAAAGTATATTCATTTATAAATTTTGAAGCAATACAATTTAACACAATTCAAAATAAAAAAAAATTAATGTTGAATACTGTAGATGTTTTCCGTTAGCTTTAAATTGTAAGTAAATAATAATGATCTAATCTAAAATAGATGTCCATGGGATATTTTTCTTTGATAATTTTACAGGACACAGTATGTTAAACTCTTCTCTTTTCGATCTGAAAATATATAAATTAGATAAAATCTGTGATTCCTTTTGTATAATTTTACAGGAGACAGTATGATAGATACGGGTGATTCTCTTTTCGTTCTGCCTGGGATGTTGTTCTCCACCCCAGACAGGGATAATGACAGATTGACTGCATATGAATAATATGTCTTTTTATTGTAATAATATTGTATTTCAGGAGACAGCATGAGAAGATAATGACAGATTGACTGCATATGAATGCTATGTCTTTTTATTGTAATAATATTGTATTTCAGGAGACAGCATGAGAAGATAATGACAGATTGACTGCATATGAATGCTATGTCTTTTTATTGTAATAATATTGTATTTCAGGAGACAGCATGAGAAGATAATGACAGATTGACTGCATATGAATGCTATGTCTTTTTATTGTAATAATATTGTATTTCAGGAGACAGCATGAGAAGCGGCCATTCTCTGTCAGGAATGTACTTCAGTACCCCAGACAGAGATAACGACGGGTGTAGCTGTAATTGTGCTGCTCACAGTAACAAAAGAGGAGGCTGGTGGTTCAATGACTGTCACCACGCTTTCCTTAACGGTAAATGGTCCCCGGAGTCCTGGTACAACCCATGGTATCCTACAGTGACTGATAATAAACAGATAAAAGAAACCCTCATGATGATAAAACCTCACTGACCTCTTATATCTTTATATCCATAGTTGTTCACATATGGACAAGCAAAGTTATATACTTTTATGTAAAAAATAATTATGACTATATTCTTGACATTATGTTGGTATTGATATTATTTTATAAAGTAATGCATTTATAGATAAAATATTATGATGTGCAATGAATGTTTTGCAAAGTCCAAATATGTTTTATGTTCTAAAAATGTTAAACATGAAACCTTACTTCCTAAAACAAGAAAATCGCATTCAATCTTTCTACGTAATTTAATGTTTGTTTATATTACTGTCTTCTTGTTGGTAATCATATGATATTATAAGGTATATATATAATAAAGGATATGTTTTATACAGACCACGATATTTAATCGATCCCCCTGAAAGACCATTTGATTGGAGAGAAAAAGTATAGAATTCTATCATTCTATGACCTCTGTACACGTTTATAGTTTGAATTTTTTTTTTCATAAAAAAAAAAATACTTCTCTCCACTTACACGTGTAATGTATTTATGAATTTTGAGGAAATGCTGTATTTAAATGCCAAACCAATGGATGGGAAAACAAAGGATTATATGATTTAATTTGATGACATTAAAGTTGAAGGCCTTGACAAAGCAACATCATAATGGAAAATTAAAATTAAAATTCGCGCTCTCTTTAAGCAGTTAGAAATTTAAAAGCTAGCTTCAGGAACCTTAACTTTATATTGATATATTAATTTGTCTTTGAGACAAAAATGCTACAGATCCCATCATGCAAATGTAACTTTTGTGGAATTTATGGCGCAAGATTTTCAACGCACGATTGGGAATATATTCCTCTAATTTTCTGCATTGGTAAATAAACCACTTGTCCCTTTGCTAGTTTGATAAATACTCTTGAACCAACCCGTATAGGTTATCTGCCATCTAATTCTTTATAATCCCCCATGAAACCTTATCAAATTAGTTTTTTTTATTTGATAAAACTATATTTTTTTTTTGGGGGGGTGAGAAGGGAAGCTTGTAAAGGGTTAGGGGTGCGGATAAAATATAAAGGTTAATAAAAGAATACATTAACAATTGGGAATAAAATGGAATTAAACATTCTATGCTGAAATGAAGAAAAATATTCACACAAAGTTGGCAAAATCAAAGTTGTGAACTGCTCAAGATTTACTTTTTACAAGATTGGTTACGATTTCATCAATAAATCAAATATTAAACAGTAACGCTACAGTTTCTACAGCTAGAAGTTGATACCTGTTGCAAACGCTTTTATGTTAAAAATGTATGGTAGACAAAATGATAAGAAGGATTGAGGAAAAGAAAAATGATGGGGATATAAAAATAAAGTATAAATATTTGCATTTGATTATTATCTTTGTTTTTATGAAAACTTCAAACTCATACATGTAACTGTACCTGATCTTGTTGGCAAAGAAACTGAGCACATTATCTTCAAATCTTTCAAAAATAATTAATCATACATGTAAATCATCTTCAAAATATTTAACGACCCCTCCTCCCAAGGAAATATATTTTAAAGAGCCTGAATATTTACAAACTGTTACCCGCGTGCAAAGGAATGGCTCTATTGTACTGAATTCTAGTCATGTCGTATCTTACGTCTATTAGTTCTAGTCAATTGATAAGGGAAACCAAGTTAATGTATGAGAGAAATTTCCCGATTTTGTGTTCTTATGTTACTGAAACAAATGTTAGTATTGCTTGGTGCATTATGAGGCTTTATTCATGGTCAAAGTACGCCTTCTTATCATTAAGTTGACATGGTTATATGTCTGAAGAATTTTTAAAAATCGCCATTTCCACGTGTGTATCATCGTCTCCATTCAGTTCTTCCGGGAATACTTCAACCAGATAAAAATAATTGACTGATTGCGACACTATTCAATAAAAATTTATGACTAAATATGGTTTTCCTTACACCAAAATTATAATAAATAGCCATAAAAATAGATTATCATTGCTGCTGTTATTATTTCTTATCAATAGATTTAATTTTGCTCATACGAAATTGAGTTACATTGTAAAACAAACTAGCTTGTACCGAACTCACCTTTACATAATGGGGGCAGCTGTTATGCTTGAGGAATGCTAGGGTGCACAATTAAAGTTAAAATTACTCAGTAATCAAGTAATATTAACACACCTTTATACTATCAATTAAACAATATTCTCTGTTGCAATATAACTAAAGAAATATCCGTTTTAAGACAATATATACATGTATATACACATTTATCTATAAAACATGACAACACTTGTGTACCCACATGTAGGCTACTGTTTACCTGCTCACTTTGCAGCCTTTTAACACTAATCCATACATTATGCATTGTCATATCAGTCGCAGCATGTTCATACCATAAACGTTAACCTCGTTCCTTAATTAGATACGAGACGTAATACACTGTAAATAATCGAATATCATATGAAGAAGAAAGAAGATGCTAACACACATGTGGCAATGGAGGAATTATTAAACTTTTGGTTAAAGAAGTCAAAAAACGTTAATAGAGTTATCCCGCTTTCCCCCAAAGTAAAAATATACTACCTTCCAATTCGGACATTAAATTCAGATCAAAAGAACCGAGTCTTGTCTGAATACATGCGAAATAAAGTTTAGTCAGTACTTGTACTTTAGAATATAAAATTTTTGAGAATATGTAAAGAAATATTTAATTGCATGAATAAACGATGCATTGTAAGGTTGGGATACATACTCCAGTATAATTTGCAATACATTATTCGATATCAGAAGTCAATCTAACAATACAAAATAGGAGCAGAGCGAATACTGACCTCTAAAACATCCGAGGTGGGATCAGGCCTGGGGGCCATAAAACTTAGACGAGCTCACTTTTGATCTAAGTCACACTTTTACTAAGGGAATATATAGTGGAAAAGTGAGACTGAGATCAAAAGTGAGCCTGTCTAAGTTTTATGGCCCCCAGGCCAGGGGCCATGGAGGAGTAAGCATCGCCTACCAACCGCTTCAGTGCTCCTTGACATGTTAGGTAAATGATAAACTAGCTATGTTGGGTCATTGTGGTTTTCTGTTTATTTCTATTTTTATGTTTGTTTTTTTATTTCGTAAGGGAAATGATCTTAACTGAAACTGGCTACCCCTATTTAGTCTGTGTCGGAATAAAAGTATGTTTTGAATATCAAAAAGTTATGGAACATCAATTACATTCTTTATGTACCACGCAAATCAATTAAAGAGTAAAATACCTTGATAAGAAATTATTACAAAAATCATACAGAATATGACTTTACAAATTTAATGAATTTGGGGACATGTTGGTCAAGAAAGTACGTGATTTTAAAAAAGTGGATAATTGTAAGCATAAAAGTACCAAAGAGGGTTTTCTTTAGTGGACATGAGAAAATTTCAGTAGATATGACCAGAACTGGGGATAAGACGCTATGAGGAGGCATATGAGTATTGACGAACACTCCATGGCAGCAGGGATGCTGGAAGCTGGCAAAACGCAAAGTCATGTTGCAGAAAAACAATCTTTCCCAAAGCGAAATTAACGGCCTTGTAACCGATATTTACAAGCAGAATAGGCTTATGTCGGGACGTTCAAGGTGTTCGGCAGCCCTTGGAAGTCGTTATTTTGCCAATTTTGCTGAGACGTACCGCTTCCAAAGTGCTTTAAAGCTTAATGCAGGGCATCGGTGATCAATGGCCAAAGGAGTGATTGCTCAAACAGTTTGAAACAGTCTTCAGGAAGCAAATCTCAATGCTTGCTGACCAGCTGTACGTTCGGTAGAAATATGAATTATTTATGTTAAATGTCAAAGTTCTGGGTATATTTCATCTGCCTTAAAATGGTTGCTAGTAACTTAAAAGGTTCATTTAAATCTAAAAGAAAAAACATTGATGCATTATTTGTCTATAAGTTAAAAAAAAATGTTAAATTTAGAAGTACTCAATTGTAAAAGTTTGAAATGTGTCGATCCATTTGACAGTTAAATTCTTTTTTTCATCTCAGTTTGCGATCGACCTTTTTCATTTTTATCTTAGTTTTCTTCTACGATGGGACTAACTTAGTAAATAAAGATCTTTTTCTTTTCTTTCTATTTTTGCAATGTTCTCTTCCGTTTTATATATTTTGAACTGGATTTATCCTGCGCATCTCCAACTCTTTTTTTCGAGGAAACAAATCCTTAAAAATATAGTCCATTTTTTTCCTCCCGTCCTTATCTTATGCTTTTGACAAATAATGAAAATACAATCATGTAAATGAAATGTTAGTTTACGTAGAGGGCAAACTTATAGTCTTTTCATTTAAGAGCAGGTAAATATGAAAGATACCAACCCACATGTGTATCTAGATAGCAATTGAGCCAAATCCATCTAAGATCTGTGCATAATTACTTTTTCAGCTAATGGGTATTGGATATGAACTTTGTTGCGATGAAAAAAAAAATACATTAATTATCTTTCATATTTATAATTATTTAACTTAGTGTTTTGTAAAACAGCAATTATGTGAACCATATTTTATATTTTGTAGTAAGAATGATTTTGCACTGATGAGCAGAGAATGACTTCCCTACATGGCAACGGATGCCATTATCGGGATTTTTTAAATCTTTCTTTGTTTTGATTTGTTTAAAAGTTTAAAAGTTTAATTATTTGAAGAATGTTCTGATCTGTTAATTGTTCCGTTCAGGAATTCAAAATCTGAAAACTTGAAAAGCTTGTTTAAAGTCATCATTTCGTAAATTCTATGGTCAATACAATGACCTTGTCAGCAAATACAATTTATCATTGAGTCAAATGCTGACTGACGTTTTTCATACCAATTGTTAGTCCATTATTTATACACTGAATTGACGACGGATTTTTTCCGTTTTTTTCCTGATCATGACAACGAGTGTAACCGGTCGGCAGGGGATGCTCACTCCTCCATGGCACCTGATCCTACCTCTGATGTTTCAGAGGTCCGTGTTTGCTCTGCTCTTATTTTGTATATTGTTTAATGGACGTTGAGATTGAATACTGTTCGTTATCTCCATATCCTTCATGAAATATTTACATTCAGTGTAATATTCTTAATAAAATCTAAAAGCGAATAGGAACTAAATACATTTGCAATATCTATGAACTCCAAAATGTATATTGTTCTGACTCTTTT